AGAGGAATTAAAAAAACTAAAGGAGGGAAGATTAAAAACACATTATTGCACTAATGACAAAATTGTCTCTAAAAAAGCCCATGCATAGTCATACTTGTAAGTATGTGGTATAATAAAACACACAACTAAAAATAAAAGGGGAATTAAGAAAAGAAAACTTTGATGGAATGTTTCACAACTCCCCTTATGAAATATAATGCCTCTCAGTGCTTTTTTAATTAGTACCATTTCAGAATTGTATTTTCTTTGGGCAGTGTTTGGAGGACACCACTGAATGCAAAAACCCCAGATCCAGTCCAATCTTCCTTCTGTTTTTGTTCCTGCAAACTTAAATGGCAACTAATGCAGCTTGCCATGTCTATATTGAGGTACTGTAAACAGAATCCAGCTGCATCTGTGTTCCAACTTTGAAACATGAACATTAGTTTTTTTCTGTTTAGGTTTGTCTTACATTTCTACAAGATTATGCTATAGTTACAGTAAAACATCAGTTACACAGCTTTCTCCTTCTTTGGTTATTAGCCCCGAAGGTATAGCTTTGTAATCAAAGAGAGGTCAAATGTATCAAAATAAAAGTTTGCCAGAGTTTATCTGGCATAAATCTTCCCCACAAGATTTGAGTATGAAGTGTTACTTTTGAAAAAAAAACCACTGAGTAATATCCAAAATGTAAGAAATTACTTTACAAGACTAAAAACATAAATAACATAGGTCTGAAGGCAAAGGACAGAGTAAACACTGGATATGTATACTACTCACTGTCACTATTGTATCCATTGGTTTAAAACCACCAAACAGTGGATTTTTATCATCATTATCACATACAACTCTAAGAGCAGAATCTGCTGACACTGTAGGAACAACCTAGGAATTATGCACTGCACAAAAAGACTCCCATTTTTGAATTCCAGCTCAAGAAGATGGACTGGGAACAATGAACACTGAACATTAACAAGCTTCATCTTTGTTTGCAAGTTGTAGAATTGTTCCATTGAGCCAAGGAAAGCTCATATCACTAAATATGTGCACTGCTTGATCATTATCTGGTCCTGGTAGAATTCTACTGGTGCTGCTTGCAACAGGCTCGCAAATGTTTCTGTGCATGTGGAGAAGTTGAGAAGTCAATGACTTGTAAATTTAAAAAGGGACCAGGTGATTCACAATTGGAAAGAAAAAGATCCAGGTTTTATTTTTATCAGGCTAGCAGTGGAAACTTATTACTTAATTTTTCTTGGGACAGATACTGCCTCTCTTCCCCATGGTCATGAAAGGCACTGAAGGATTCACACTCCGGGGTTGCTGCTGTATTTAGTCCTAACTATGCAACACTTACAGCATAAACAAAGAATCCATCTGCAAAGCCTTAGCCAGCCATAGAGAAGGGGACTTGGTACTCTGCACTTTGAAAGGGGGGATTCGTTCCTTCTTCTCCCTCAGTCTTAGTTGAGCATCTTTAAATCAGACCCTGTTTGTCAATGCCAAAACTTAAACTGACTTCAGAGGAGCCAAGATTTCTTTTGAGTATTGCCAATTTTGCTGATAATTGGTGTTTTTCTTTAGTCCTCACTCCTCCACTGATGAAAATATCAGTTTAATTCTATAAACAAAATAGTAATAAGTCTTTAGCACTATGCCACAGCAAAAAGTTGGAAATCAGAACCTTTAAGGTTCAAAAAAAAGGAAAGAAAAATAAAAGCAACTCAAGATTTATTTTTTTTAAACTTCCATGATTTTTAAACACCTCTCTTTTGAGGTGTCTGACTCATGATTTTTTAATAACTTCAGGATGGCAATACTGTAGTCCACAAAAACCATGATTTCAGAACCATCTTTTTGTGCATATAAACTACTGTGAGTCACCATGTTTTTACAACCAGTGTTAACCTTCGAATCCTTTGCTCATCCATTCAATTTGTGTGTACCTGCCACTTGTTGCATATTCATTTAAATTAGACTGTCAATTCTATGAGAGAAAGACTGTCTCTGACTCTGTGTTTCTACAGCACTGATAACAATGAACTTCTGTATATTACCATACTATGAATAAATAATACCGATATAGTCCAATTGCACAGGATGTATGTAGGCTCTAATTTTGATTCCTTATTGCAACAGTATGTAGCCTAAATTGGGTTGATTACATTATACAGGGTTTCTCACAGTAATTGGCTTGATTTGACAAACTCAAGAACAAGAAATTATATCTTGCCATATGTAAATAAAAAAAACTACTAATCCTTGCTCCTCTTTAATTTAGTTATAAATTTTCCCTTCCACATTTTGAAAGTAAATTTTATTTTCTACTTATTCAGTCATTTATATGATCTGATAGGAATTGCAATTAAAACTAAACAAAGTAGCTTGACATGAATATCACAGATTTAAGAATTTACTGAAAGATTTTGCTGAATAATTTTAAATCACAAGAGGTGAAAATCACAAGAGGTGAAATAAGGCATTCATTTGACCTCAGTTGTGAGAGGTGGGAATTAAAGCACTATATTAACATTATTAACATGTAATCCAATTTATTTGATCCATAAATACTTTGTTGCATCACATCGGCCACTGTCATACTATGCATACACAGTGCACAACTCAATGTGCATTCTCTTGAACACAAAATAACCAAAAGAGCGATAAAACAAAATCCTGGCCTTACTAACAATATTTACAAGTCTTTGGAGCCACAAATTGCCAATCAGTTAAAGTTGTAAAACAAAATGGAAATGGTTTGTTAACTGGCAGTTTAATTGCACGTACTTAATTGTTTCAGGCTGGTGGTTTGATGCCTGCGGTCCTTCCAATCTGAATGGAATGTTCTATACTGCTGGACAAAATCATGGAAAACTAAATGGGATAAAGTGGCACTATTTCAAAGGCCCCAGCTATTCCTTACATTCAACAACTATGATGATTCGGCCCTTAGACTTTTGAAAGCAATCAGCCTCAAGACACAAGAACAAAACACGATACCACTCTTATTGAAAGAACTTCTTGTGTTACCTTCAGAAGAAAAGAGGTTGAGGGTGTTGTAAAAGCAACAAGTAGGAGCTACACAAAGTTCTTCCATTACCACTTCATAGTCTCCAAAAACTCTACACGAGGCAGCCTATATACTGATAACATTGGGATGGCTTGGCCTAAGAGAAGGTGGCTGTAACGATTTTCCAATGGAGGAGAACACATGGACTTCATGTAACTGTCACTGTGACTGAATGTAGTATCTGTCAGCAGATATCTTTTCCTTTGTGTAAAAGATGCAAAAATATACTGGATAATACTGAAGAACAGAAACAAATCTATGATATTCTATTGAGAAGAATCATTTTCAGCAGTGAAATGGCATCACATCTATGCAAAAGTATTACCGATAAGGTGTTATTAATGCACATCTTAAACTATCCAAAATGACCACTCCAATCATTATCTTTAGTAATCTGAAGTTGGATGGATGGATTTCTCTTAAATCCAGAGTCAAATAGTATACGATAGAGTTATTTTTTCATCCAGCCCATTTCAAATGTAAAACATACCCCTGATAAACATACTGAGTCACAGAGCATGAAGAATGATAAGGATAATATGCAGAAAATCGTCAGCACTGTTAGGGCAAAGTAAGTATAGGTAATCCAGATAATTGGCATAATCCCTGCGCTAGGATTTATAGTGTGATAAAAAAAATAACCATTTGGGGCTTTTTAGTGCAGCTTTTGCCTGCATTAAAACAGTCTGACTGTCACACTGAAAGATTGGAGGAAAGTTTAAAGAATGTGAAATATATCATGAAGAAATATGTTGTTTTGCATATATGAATTTCTTTCAAAGTAAACAGGAAATCAGACTGTTAGGATGTATAAAATGGCATAAACATGTAGTTTACCTGGATGGATTAATTTTAAAGTATCTTTGCATGTGCACACTTTAGCATTAATTATTTTAAATTCTTATTAGATTTTCATTTCTTCACTATATTGTTTCACCTACTTTGTGAATAACTGAAGCAAACCAGTGCTACACTCTGCTTCAGCTATTACTATAAAAAGTATTCATCACAACATTATAGAAAATAAAGGAATAATTATAATTATAAATTGTAAATAGCATGTTTATATCTCTACAGTACAAATAGTGGCCATTTAATTTGTACATGCTGCATATACCCTATTCAATGCACGTGAATGCAAAACTACAAAAGGATATAATTTTTAAAAAATTCTAGAATGGTGTTATACATGTTGCTTCCCATTAAAAATGCATTGTATTAAGTCATTTTGTTATACTAAAAATTTGGCTTGGGTGCAGGGTCAGCTGTCAGATATTGTCATATTTAAGGTGCCTATGAAAAAAGTTTGTAGCAAAGGGGTCAGGTGGCACCCAAATGTAAAGCTGTTATATTTTCTATTTAAAAACCTCTGCTGACATAATCTGATGGAGAAGCTAGTTTTTGGAAATTAGTGTCTACATAGTCTCTGCCCGCTTTGAGAAAAACAAAGAGACTAATCCTACTCCATTTAAAATCGAATGTAAAATATCCATTGATTGGAATGGGAACAAAATCAGACCAATAAAATATATGTGGACGGAGCTGTTTGTTTTTGTTTTAATTAAAAAAAACTATTATTGAAATCAGGCAAAACGACAATCTGGTTGTTGTGGGGGGTTGGTTTGGTTTGATTTTTAACAATTACGGTATTTCAATAACTAGGCTCTTTATTCTTTAACAGCTTTCTTCCATTTAAGAAAATAAAGCAGTATAGATTTTTTAAGGCAACATGAAAGGATAAGGAGCACCACAGGGTTCTTTTGTAATTTTGTTAGCTCAATGTTTTCCAAGTAGGAAGGGCTTTGTTTTTATGCATCCGTATGATTTTTTTTTTTTTTTGAATAATCCTGCCCAAGGGGTTAATTTGTTGTGTTGTGTGGATTAAATTACCCAACTATTCTTTGCTCAGCAGTTCTTCAGAGTGCTGCTTTGTCTCTGTTTCCAGTAATCTTTGCAATGTATGCAGTCATCATTTTGGTGCAAAACCTGTGGTCTTGGTCTGCCTTCCACTGTGTTCTCACAAGATTTTTTTTTTCAGGTCACGGAATTAGGAATATCATTTTGTAGAAACTGTTGCAAAAGACAAAACACATAAAAAGCAAAAACATGATATATACTGTTTATTTATCTGGGTTTGAAAAAAATGGGGACATGGGTTGCTATCCTTTATAATAAAACCTTTTTAAAATATTTGCCGAGTCTGACTCTGTCCTGTAAGCATTCATTTTTGTGGCAGAATGATAGGTCATTTAACATATCTCCACCTCTCTCTCTCACTTATGTTCAAATGTTCAGATTTTTCTTATGAAGGGACTCATGTTAGCGCTTGAGCACAAATGAATATCTTCTTACCTTTAAAATATGCATCTGAGTTTTATTTTACTCGTTTTTCTTGGTTAAAATAATCAGGATATATTTCACATTCTTAATCTAACAAATACAACTTGTTTTCATTTTTTTTAAATCAGGGCCAGCCCACAACATTTTGGCACCTGAGGCTGGGAGCTCAAATGATGCCCCCATGCCACCTTTTCTCCTGCCTGCCTGTTATGTCTCTTGTGCCCTCCTTCCTCCAGCACAGCACTCCACCATCTCTGTGCATCTAGAGCAGAGAGAATACGTATGCACCAGGAGCAGACACAATTTTCTACACTCTGGGTCCTAGCGGCACCCCTCCTCCCCCCCACAGTCTGGCACCTGAGGCGGCCTCCTCAGTTCGCCTCATGGTAAGGCCAGCCCTGTTTTTAATCTCTCACATTCCACTAACCAAGAGACAAATTGAAGCACACCAGTTGTTTCTCCTGCCCTTATGACTTTTTGTACTTTAATAAACATAATAATAATAACAGTAGCATATACAGCAGCATATATAATTCCAAAACAGGATATCTACCATGTACTAACTGTAACTACAGAAATACTCTCATCCTTTTAGGCAGTGTTGGCTCTGTCAAAGTCTGTTGGCCCTCATATGAATTGACTGTCAATTTGAGGTAGATTTCTGATGGAGTCTCTCACAGGAAGCTCAATTTGCCTATCCTAGGTACCCCCTTTTTATACAGTGATTCTATCTCTATCTACATTCTGTGCATGTACATGCTGACAATGTCCCTCCCTTTCTTAGGCTGTGTCTACACTGAGGTTTTTTGGGGGGATTTTGCAGAAGATGATATGCAAATAGTGTGCTCATTTGCATATATTCTTCCAATTCTTTTTGCGGAAGAGGTTTTGCCACTAAAAAACCCCATGTACATGGGGCCATTTGTCAGGAAAAAACCCTTTCTCACAAGATCCCTTATTCCTCAAAAATCAAGGTTTGCAGGATCTTGTGGAAAAGGGTTTTTTTTTTCAGACAAAGGGCCCCATCTACATGGCTTTTTAGAGGCAAAACCTCTTCCTCAAAAAGAATCAGAAGAAGATATGCAAATGAGCATTCCATTTGCATATCTTCTTTTGCAAAAAAATGCAGTGTAGACATAGCCTCATTGGTCTATGTCTCCAGGAGACACAAGGGATACCTAAAGGCTGTACAGGTTGATGTACCACCTCTACCTTACGGTCAAAGCATGTGTTATAGCACATTTTAGTTCTTACAGAACTTTTATGACTAAATTTAGCTTTCCAAAATCTGTTTCCAAAAGATTGCTAGTTTCTGCCTCTTTTCTCCGAATCTTATTGTATTAAGTCATTTTTAGGTCACTCATTTCTTGTATCCAAAGCCTAAAATAGCTAAGCTAGATCTTGAAGGCTTTGACCTTCAGTTTTCTTGCATTTCAGCTTGTCTGATCTATCACCTAATTCCTCTAAATGTTACTTACTCTTATGCTTAATCTTGCACTTTTGTAATTCTATGTTTTAATCTTCACAATGAATGAACAAAGTCATTGGCCCCACCACTCGTATCAAGCATGCCATCACACAAAGGGTGGGTCTGTGTCACTTCCAAGCTACAAGGCTCAAGGACATTGAGCTGCCTCACAAAAGCAATACAAGAGGTACCAAAGCACACTACATAGCAGGCAAGTGAGTGGGGAGAAGGTGCCATTGACAGCTACTCCTGTATACTATATGGATAAAAAACTGAGGCTCTTCAAGGATATTTTTCAGTTCAGGTGGAAGGCAGGTTGAGAAACTCCATGTGGGCCTCCCTGTGGGAGGCAGAGGGATAGTGGAAGAAAGGGTGATGCTGACATGATATAGCCATAGGTATTGAAAACTTGAAAACCAGAGGGCATGGGCAAAGAAAGAACAGGACAGTTAGACTGAAAAAAAATGAGGTGAGAGCACCGATAAAGAAAGAAAAGAAGAGGAAAAAAGCTAAGGAGAGACAAAAAGGGAGCAGAGTAAATAATTTGTAGGAGACACTGAAAATCAACATGTATTTGAAGGGATTAAACGAAATGGTCTTGGATAATCTAAACAGTTAATATTAGAAAAATCTGGAAAAATAGTATTAAATGAAGCAGGATGAAAAGATATTTCAAGACAATGGAAATGAATGGAAGAAGAAAGAACAAAAAGAGGAATGGCAGATTAGTTTTATTATTGTTATTTTGATACAGGGTGTTTTGCCAAAATGTTTCAATAAGACAATAAACACAGTGCTATCACTGATGGAGCAGCATGTGTAGTTGTAGGCAAGCAAAACTCCCCTTGATTACATATGGCCTGCACAGTGGGTCCCATATTATTAAATTAAATTCACATAACCATAAGGATGTGTGGCGAGCTCATAGTTTTGGTGGATCTGCCTTCCTTTATCCTGAATAATTTCCCTTTTGCAAGGTCATATTATAATTGTTTTATTTCTGTAATCATTATTGGGTAGTTAGCCAAGATATGAAAGCAACACAATAGCTATTTTTTAACATGTCTTCTTCTTCATTACTTCTGGTGCAAAGTAGATGCCGACAGTGGTTTTTACATCATGCAAAATATAAAACAAAGGCCAGAGAAGTGGTCCCCACTTCCTTGAGGAACCATTAGTGACATTGTGAGAAACAGTTCATTCTCTTACAATGAGACAAGAATCCATCAGTCAGATAAATCAGCTTCAGATAATATTTATTCTTCTACTAAAAGACTTGGACCTCCACCCCTGCACAGACCCCTCATGCTTATTTTTAGAATCACTATCTACTCTCAAGGAAACTACAAATCTCAGATCTGTTCCCATTCAGATGCATCACTGAACTGCAGGTTTATTTTCTTTTGGGTAATGGAGCAGAACTCCCTGGCGTATATTTTGCTTTTACATTTTTGAAGCAAAATGCTCTACTTTTATTTTCATTTAAAGTCTTCTGCTCTAGAGTTCACCTTCCACCCACTAGCGATTATTATTTGATTCCTCTTCTGAGAGCCTCACCCAAAACAATTAACGCTGTAAATCTTTGAGCAAAATTCTCCCCTCAAAGTCATATAGTGGTTCTTGGCTCCAATACACTGTGCTCCCTTCATGCCTGCCGAAGTACCACACGTTTCTCATTGTCCTCTTTCTAACCTTCATTTAACTTCTGGGGATGTACTCTGGCATAAAAATTTACTTCAGAGACAAACACTGTCTCGGGGCCTGCTTTGCATCAAAGCTGTACTTTGCGCAGCTCTGGTACAAGTGACTTTAAAGTCAACTTTGTGTCCCTCAATCCTGGGGTCAGATAAGGCCCAGCTATTCAAAAGCAATTCAGCTTCATGGCTACCTGCTTGACACTAGCTGTGCATGTTTCCCAGGAGCTACTGCAATAACTGGGGATCATAGGAGCCTGTGTCCTGGCTATGCCCCCTTGCTCATGGGAAAACTCCATGAGCACGGGTCTAGGAACCATATAGTTTAAAAGCCACCTGGAGAAGAGTCTGTTGCACAGGACGAAATGGTCCACTTGCCAGCTAAGCTGCCTTTAAAGCTTTGTGTCCATGAAGCAGCTCAAAGTAAGCTTAACAGTGCTAAGACTCTGGCCTTTGCTCTGCCAGTTTTCAGATCAGGTGGAAATCAGTGATCTAAGGTGTCACAATCATATTCTATTTATTTTTTAATAGTTACAACTGTGTTAGCTGAAGAACACTGCACAGGAAGAGGGCGTTTGTTGCTTTAACAAAATATAGGCACATATGGAAAACAGAAAGCCATTGACAGTTTCCCTACTGCTCAGGGAAAGCTATGACCATTTACCAGCAGAGTATCTGGCCTTAAGCTTTTGGCAGATGCTGCCTATTAATCGGCAATGTGACCTGTTGTCTTGGGAGCTTTGAGAAAAACAATAAATTCCTTACAAGTAAATAATTAGCTTACATCACGCTGTAGACATTGGTTTGCTAGTAAAGATCATTGTATGGGCAAGTAGAATGGCACAAAGAGACAGGCGTGTACTTCTGTACGTGAGATCATGTCATTTTATTGCAAGAGAATGCCACCCTTCTTGCCTGAATACAAGAGGGTTTTTTATAACAATACACATACCCACTCCCACCTCCATGCCATTATTTAACATGGTTTATACACCATGCATTTCAGGTTATTTGAAATAGAAGAACGGTTTGTTTCCAAGCATGTCAACTTTTAGAGCGACATTTTGATCGGAACACAGGCGAATGCACAAAAGTGGTTTAAAATTTCTCTTTCGGCTTTCATTCTTGCTTTGTTCAGGGTCTGGTGCCTCTGCATAAGGTTACATCAGATGGAATTAGGTTCAGTGGCCCTGGAACAACTTTTATGCTGTTCCTCTCTGCCCCATCTTACCCCCATCTAACTCCAGGGCCCTTTGTTGCCTTGGGCTGCTGTGGCAGCTGCAAAGCCTTGGGATTGGGGGCTGATGTTTGGAAACTGCAGATGAGCTCCTAGGCTTGGCTGTCATGACCCTGGGCAGCCACAGAGCTCCAGTGACTGGGACCCTGGGCCTAGCATTTGGGATCCCCAGAGGCGATGGGGCCAGTGTCCATGACCCCATGGAGCTGGCAGCCAGGACCCCTGATGGTAGTCAACCCGTCTGGTATGGGCTGGTGGCTGAGACTTGGAGCAGGATGCAAAATCTGCAGGGTGCTGCAGCACTGTCCACATGCTTACTTCTCCCACCTATGATTAGGTTCTGTGATTTGGATCTTTAGGACAGTTCACATGCAGCCTGTCATGAAACAGAGGTGTCTGGAGAGATGCCCATGTAATTTGAGTTTGCTGATAT